GTAGCCACATTGCCTGATTCATGCCAATGCCGTCAAGGTCCAAAATTTGCGATGTTTTATCACACGAGTTATGGACATAGAAGTGATATCTCCAAGCGCAGGAGAGACTTCAATCGCATGCAGACACCCTTTTCTTTAGAACTACTCCTACCTCGAGTATTTCTGTCCCTTAAAATTCCACGGGTTCAAGCCATTCCTCCAACTCCGGCTGTCCATCACGGCCTTTTACATCCTGGTTCGTTTATAAACATTCACTCTACCTTTACCACATAACACATAATTCAGCCGTTTTCTATTCGAGCATGTCTTACAAAGCAGAACTATGGAGTCCTACTTTCTGGTACTGAACGATATAGACCAACCACGGACTATTGAACAATCTGGTTAGCCATCGTTCGGAATAATATTGATAGAGGTTGTTGAATAAACCTAGCGGAACAGCATTAATCGTGCATTGCACATATCTCTGCTCGATACCGCACAGAGACATCTTCTCTCGTAAACAAAATAAATAAGTCTGTGCGATACTCTTCACAATGGTAGCGAAACATTTGTTGTGTACGTCAAATTTTATCATTTGTTTTGAGTACTAGGAATCACAGAGTATTTTTCTGATCAAAATAGCTTAGCAGTATAATCCGACTGATGGCCGATAAATCCAAGGAAAAAGTGCTTATTACCGTGTAAGCATATGAGTTGGTTAATTTATGCAACACCATCATATGAATAGGAAACAATTCGCAAGCCGGTTTGGCAGTTCTAAAAATAAATTATTTGACCCTTCGAGAGGAATCAAAATCTTTTGTATTTGCACTGAATGAAGAGTCAAAAAGTTGTTGTGTAACCCACTCTTTCTGAGACGCTCTCACTTATTCTTTACTAACAACATCGAAGTTACATAATCACCAAATTGAAGCTACTTACTTAACAATTACCAGAAGATCTTAAACAGTAGAAAAGGCATAATATTACTGTGAAAAGAAGCTAATATTATTTAATGGATAGTACAAATTTTTTC